AATTTTGATCACGTGACCATAGGGATGTTGCAATGGTCATAAGTTTCATAAGTAACTTTTTTTCGGTGCCACTGTAACTTCTAACAGTCACTAAACTAATGGTTGTAAGTCAAGGACTACCTGTACGGTGGATGGTCAAGAAAACAAACCATGGATTATCAAGCAAATCAACCCAGGGATCTTAACTCAAAGGCTCCAATGATCGGATTCAAGTGATCCTACTTCGGGTATGTTATGCAAAGACCTAACTCTCTGGAGACATCTATAATGCTGGGAAAAGTGGAAGGAAAGAGAAGAGGATGACTAGCAGCAAAGTGGATGGCCTCAGTTATGGTGGCGATGGGTGGAAGATCTAAAAAGCCAATTTGGCAATGGTTCCTCTTAGAGAAAATTCATCTATTGTGTATAGTTGCTTAAAATCACCACTGACTTTATATAGAGAAGGTTGGGGCCCAAATTATTTTTTTCATCTATCAGAGAACTATAGTAAATAAAATAATACAATAAAATTCTGGCTAAATGAGTGAAGTTAAGTGAAATAGGAACTTTTATCTTCTTCTAAAACCCAGTGAGGTCTATCACTCACCTGGGGCAGTCTGAATGAACAGGCTCCATCTCCCTGAAGTGGGAGTCCTGAACCAAGGGGCATGATCTGTCCATGACAGAAGACTGATGCTCGTATCTCCAAATCAGATCACTGCCCCAAATCAAAATCTAATGTGTGACTTTCATTGTGGGTTGATTTCCAGAAGTTGAATCATTGTGGGTTGATTTCCAGAAGTTGAATCAAACCCATGGTTGCCATGGAAGCCATGAACTCCCAAGCCACCTCTGATCCCAGATCTATAAGCTTGGGAACTCCACTACCCCCCACAGAGTTCATGACCTTTTGTAGGAGCACTGCTAGACTATAAGTAGGAAGATCAGCAAGCAGTAGTCCCAAGGGTCTATGACAATTCGCCATGGCCAACTTGCCATGGGACAACTTGCCATGGACAATTCATTGTGGGACAATTCATTGTGGGACAAGAGTTATACTACTATCAAAGAAATAGTGGAATAGAAATTAAAGAAAAGATGCAAAAGGAAGGACAGAATGGAATGTGAATGGCAAACATTACAGTAATTTTTATTTGTTTTGAATATTTAAACGGATTTGTTAAATTGTCCTTTTAGCAAGTTGTCCCATTCTGTAGTCCCAACTGATCCCTATGCCCCAATTTTGCAAAGAGAGTTTTTCATCTAATTATATCTAGGGCAGGGCTCCTAAAAACCTGCAACTTTCTATAACAACAGGACTTTATGGGAGAAAAAAAAAACAGTCTTGCTGTTTTATATGTATGTCTATACATATTTGTACATAGTATGTTTAGGTGTGTGTAATGTATGTGTTTCATTTTGAGAGCGGGCAACTAACTTTCATTTTTGATGTGTGCCGTTGTGCCCACAGTAAAAAAATGACAATAAAGATTATCTTATCTTATCTTATCTTATCTTATCTTATCTTATCTTATCTTATCTTATCTTACCTTACCTTACCTTACCTTGTCTTAAGAGAGTTTTCTTTTTTAATCTGCAAAACCCAAACTGGTTTAATTACGGCAGTTCTGCTTTTATTGTGTTACCCTACAAACCTTTTCATTCTGTCTATAGCAAAGATGGAACCACCCTACAGTTCTGCATATTAACCATAAGTTCAGTAAAAACCGTCATCGTCATCCTCACCATCATCCTATTAAAAAGTAACATTATGGTATAGGCTTGTCATCAGCTCAAGGTCTTTTTTATTTTTGGCTTTGGAAACTAATTCATTTGCTTTCAGTGAAGTATCCTGGGCTAACAAAAGACAATCAACGAATTCATGAATTCGTCAATGATATACTGATGCGAACATAATAAAGCCAAAGAGAAGGACCAAAGACTGTAGTTTTCCGAACAAGAGAGCTTCAGATAGATAGAAAACTGATGTCAGGAGATAACCGGAAATGAGTGCAGTTTTATGAAATTCCTAACCAAGATAAATCTGCCGGCTGAAACAAAGGCAGCTCCAATATCTCCCTTCCCTCCTCCTGTGTTATTTGTTTTATTTTAAACAATCCATGTCCTAAAGACAGGAATATGCAAGGATCTATAAAAAGCTTAGATAAAAGTGCCCAAATACTCACAACCAGCCGTTACACACGCACACACACATGCATACACACAACAACACGGACAGACAGTCCTCTGAAAGCAAAACCTTCCAGAATAAATCTTCACTTTCCAACCTTAAACTTTTGTAAATCCGTGCTTTGTTTTAGCCCATAAATTGAGAAGCATATGTTAGCCTGGATCTATGCACAGGACTCCCATTGAGATTAATGGGGCTTGCACGTTATTGGGAAGTCGTTTTGCAAAAAGGGCAAATTAAACCTCTTCATTAAGTACAGAGCAGGTGGGTTGGGAAGGAGATCTTACTAAATTCTTGGCTCTTCTCTTTTTCTTTCATCAGCTGGAGGGCACTGCAAGCAAGGGATGGCTTGGAGGCCTCGTGAATGGCGTGGATTTCAAATCTCTCTGGTCCAGTTGCTTGGATTTGACCTCTGCAATGTCTTTCTATTAAAAATGTTCCACCTACTGCATTCATAGTTTCTCCCTCTTTCGCCAGATTGCTGCTGAACAGACATCCCTTCTCTCATGACCACTTTGCTCCCAGGTAGTCCTCGACTTACAACGATTTCTCCAGTGACCGTTTGAAATGACAACAGCACTGCAGCGTCCTGGGGTTCGCGTGATCCACTTTTGCAACAAGGAAAGTCAACGAGGAAGCCAGATTCGCTTAACAAAGGTGTGACTCACTTAGCAGCTGCAGTGATTCGCTTAACAGCAGTGGCAAGAAAAGCCGTAAAACGAGGCAAAATTCGCCTAACAGCTGCCTTGCTTAGCAATGAAAATTTTGGACTCAGTTGTGATCGTACGCCGAGGACTACCTATATTACATACTGGTTGCTTCCAGATGACAACACTGATCTAGTGACCGAGGAACCACTACCACAGGGCAAATATCCCCGTGTATCAGCAATGAATGAATGATATAGAATACAGAATAAGAGAGTTGGAAAGGATCTTGTAGGTCATCTAGTCCAGGGGTCTCCAACCCCCGGTCCGTGGACCAGTACCGGGCCCTGGCATGCCAGCAACCGGTCCACAGAAAGAAGCAAAGCCACATCCATGAGATGAAGACCGCATACAAAACCACGCCCCCCTCCGGTCTGTGGAAAAACCTCTCTCTATGGAACCGGTCCCTGGTGCCCAAAAGGTTGGGGACCTCTGCTGTAAGGCAGGGGTCCCCAACCCCCCATCCGTGGACAGGTACCGGGCCGCGGCATGCCAGCAACCAGTCCACACAAACAAGCAAAGCCCCATGTGTGGGATGCAGGCAGCACACAAAACCACGCACTTTCTGGTCCGTGGAAAAACCTCTCTTCACGGAACCGGTCCCTGGTGCCCATCCTTGGGGATGCATTAGAGAACATATTTTCCTAATTTTTTACTTCCAGGAAACTGCACATTCCCAAGGCTGAGGGTTTGCTAGCCGTAACATTAGCCCGCTTAGCATTTTAAAAATGCATTCCAAGCGCTCAAAATCAAATACATACTTCATTTCAACAATTCTTATAAAAAGTGCCTCATATTACTATCAGAGCCCACAATGAAATCTCTGAGCACTCCTTTTACTGAACAAAGTCTACAGCCTCAACCTGCAACAGTACTAAAAGTTTCATTTGCAAAGTACTTGTGTAACCATCGTATCAGATGGAAAGGCTCAGTGTGCAGATTGCAAAAAGAGAGCACAGCTCACACATGAGGACATCTTAAGCTGGCGCATGTGTCATGAGAGGAGAACATGGTCCCCAAAAGGTGACTCTTGGTGTCTGAAAGAAGGTGGCATCTCGCTACTCCTGTATATCTCATGGTCAGTTGAGTTACAGAGGACCTCCCACATTGTAGAAGCTCAGAAGATCTAGTGCAGGGGTCTTCAAACTTGGCCCTTTTTATGACTTGTGGACTTCAACTCCGAGAATTCCTCAGTCAGGCACGCCGGCTGAGGGATTCTGGAAGTTGAAGTCCACAAGTCATAAAAGGGCCAAGTTTGAAGACCTCTGCATTAAGAGATTGGAATGTCTTGAACAGACATGTCAAACACAAGGCCCAGGGGCTGGATGCGGCCCACGACGTGGTTTCATGTGGCCCACGAAGCCACCCTGGAAACAGTGAGGGAATGGCCCCCGCTGCCTTGGCCCTGGCCCAGGCCGGCTGGGAGCCAATGTACAATTTTGTGGTGGCCATCTATGCTGAAAAGCATTCAGTCTTAGCTCCACAAGGCCGCCTGGAAACAACAAGGGACTGGCCCCTGCCGCATCGGCCCGCCCCCTGGGTGCATGCTGGGGAGGTGTCATCCTTTGTGAGGAATGAAGAAATGCACCAATGCCTGGAAGTGGCCAGCAAATGGCCCTCGCCTACTTCACATATCCATCTTGATGGCCTCCGGCAGAGGGGTTTCAGCAGGCAGTGAGGCTCCACCAGTGGACCATGCTTTGGCGCTTGCCCTGGTCCCACCCCTTTCTGCCAGAGACCCTCAGATCTGTCCCACTCCTGCCCAGGCCCCCACAGGCACCCTTGACGCGAACGATGTAGAGCTGGCCACACCTACCCAGTAGGCCACACCCACTCCATCCACGCCCACCCATCCTGGCCACACCTACCCAGCCCCCTGAGGGCAACCGCAATGCTGATGCGGCCCTCAGAGAAATTGAGTCTTGAAGAAGCTTGCTTGGTTGGCTTCATCAATTGGAACCAGGACATTCCCCCCACCTTCTGGCCCACCCAATAAACAGTTTGAATGAGGATGGTCTCATTCAATGTCTCTGATTACTGCATCATTGCTACCCCATGCCAGCTCATGTTCGGTCCACTTTGGGCACATCACCACCTGCACAAAAACAACGGAGTAGACTTACTGCAGCCTGTCTTGTAGCTGAAACCAGGTGGGAGGAGGAATCCTTGCTGGGCTGCTGCTGCTAGGGTTCGCTGGTCTGGAGGGAATACGGGGATCATTAGTGGCGGTAGCTGACCTTGGACCTGCTGGACAAAAGGTGATAAACATCAAAACATATATTACATCTTCTGCTTTAAGAGTAGCCTCAGGATTAAAGAGTGCAATTGTCAGGTATCCTTCCAGAGGCTCACTGTTGTCTTCACCGTTTGTAGTGTTTTATTAAATCAGTGGTTCTCAACCTTTTTAATGCCGCGACCCCCAACCGGTCGTAAGTCGAGGACTACTCAACTGGTCGTAACTCGAGGACTACTCAACTGGTGCAGCACCGTTTGCAGAATGGGACTTTTGGTGGGCTCAGCAGGGCAGAGACAGCCTGGACAATTCCTATTGGCTTTTGAAAGCCAATAGAATTAGACTCTATTCAAGAGAGTCTATTCTATTGGCTTTCAAAAGCCAATAGAATAAAAGGGAGTAGCACAGCTAAGGAAAAGGGGGAAAAAAATGGCGGACTGCGTTGTTTGGTGACCCCTGTGAAATGGTTGTTCGACCCCAAATGGGGTCCCGACCCACAGGTTGAGAACCACTGTATTAGATTATAGAATAAAATACTAAAATGCAAAAGCAAATAATAGGACAGGGTGGGGAGGGAAAGGGGAAAGGAAAATGAGGAGAGGGGAAAAAGGAAAGGCATTGACTTCCGACTTCCTCTGTTGCAGTAGAATAGAGCATTCACACTGAACCTCGACTTTTTACTTTTCCGTAATAGTATAAGCTAGCCATTTCTATAACAACAAAGCAATCTAATCAGTAAAACCCAAAATCAAAGTTTCATTTTTCCCCCCCACCTCAAGCACAAAGTCCGGAAGCTGTCTCCAAGTAGAAACAAAAGGACTTATATATTTTTTTCCTTTAATCAAAACAGTCAATTTAGCCACCTCTGCCGACTCCAGTAACTTCTGTAGCCATTCATGAAGTTCTGCGTAGACAAAGGTACAGATTTCCCCTTGAGATGTTTCTTTCCCCGGGTGAAGTTGTGCTCCTGGGGTGGCCAAGGTCTTGAAGGGTTTCATACACTTAATCTATTCACCATGGGCAACCTGTTCAAATGGTCTTTGATACAGTAGAGATACAATAGCACAACAAGACTTGGGAAGCATAGTTTTTTGCAGCTGCCTTGGTCAACAAAAAACTCGAGAGCAATGGTGGCGAACCTATGGCACGGGTGCCAGAGGCAGCACTCAGAGCCCTCTCTGTGGGCACGGGTGCCGTTGCCCCAGTCCTAGGCCTTCAACTGGGTTTTATAAAACCTTTTCGCTTTAGGCCTCTGCTACCATGTGCAAAAAAAAAAGTTCAATCAATCAATCAATTTCAACTTCTCGCGGAAAAAAAAAGAACTTGCAAAGTTGGAATTGATGGATTGAACTTTTTTTTTATAATTTTTTATTTTCAATTTTACATTACATTCATAAAAAATACTTCAGATAAAGAGTAAAATAAATTTATACACACAACTTTCGGTATTGCTCACCCATTTCCCCCCAAACCGCATCCACCCTCTAACCTCTTCTCTCACTTCCCTCTTTCCCGCTTCTTCCTCACTCTCCCCCCCTCCTCCTTCTCCTCAACCTTCCTACTTACTTCTCCCCTTCCTCCTATCTTCTCACTCCGGATGCGGTCCAGGGGAAATACCGGAGCAATTCCTCTCTCCAAATTAAAACATCAATATTATATACAATAAAACTATTTCTACTGATTGAACTTTTTAGTGCCACCCAGTCTGCCGTTACCACTGCAGCTACGTCCACCCAATGGGCCACACCCACCCAATGGGCCACGCCCACCCGGCACTCAACGATGCATAAGTGGGTTTTGGGTTGCAGTTTGGGCACTCGGTCTCTAAAAGGTTCGCCATCACTACTCTAGAGAGTGGCCTAACTGTGGGATCCTTGGTGCTCTGTGAGCTTGGTTGTTTCTTTTGCAGACATTTCATTATCCAACTAGGTAACATCATCAGTGCTAGACAGGAGTGGGGTCTTCTCCCTCCTAGCACCAATGATGTTACCTGCAAGACAACTACCAAGCTCAGAGAACACCAAGGACCACACAGTTCAACACGGAGCTACAGATATTCTCTTTTGGTTTTGGGTCATCTTAGACTGGATTACAACTATAGCACAGGTAATCGGAAATTGGAAAATATATTACTGTATTTGATTTTTTGGAACAATCTGAGTTTGGAAGTATCCCCACTTCTGTGGACCACAGAAAGAACAAGAACACCACATAGATCTATTTCGAATGTATTTGGATCCCTCATAAGCATTTTCCCCTTCCTGGTTCCCTTCCTCATCCTGTTCTATTTTTAGAGTCACACGCCTTTTAAAAATAGTGTTACAGAATTATGTTATTTGAGCAGATCTTTAATAATGACAGGTTATTGGGGTTGTAAGAATTCAATCTCACTTGACCCAAACATTTCAGCACCTGCAGATAATGGCTATCATGCCCCAAGAGCTCTGCTCATAGTATATAGCCTTACGATGTAAAATTGAACTGGATTTACCCAGAGGTAAATGCATAAAGAAAGATAATTTAATGACCCTGGAATAATCCTGTTACTGCCTTAATTTGCTACCTTCCCCTCCCCCTTTCAAATGACAAAGACATTTCTTTCTCCTTGGAAGGTGAATCGAATTTTTGCATTGTATTCTTTGGCAAAGAACCAGGGAACAGGAAGGAAGGAAGGAAGGAAGGAAGGAAGGAAGGAAGGAAGGAAGGAAGGAAGGAAGGAAGGAAGGAAGGAAGGAGAAATGGAGAAGGAGAAGAATTTCACGTATGAAAATGACTTTGCCAAGCAAAGAAGCTTCAAAACAGAACTCAAAACACTAATAGAGAGACAGATGGTCCCACTGAAGTCTTTGCTGCCAAAAAAAAAAATTATACACAAAAAAAGAAAGAAAAAAAAACCCAGAGTGATGTTATTGAAGCTGGCTGAAAAGTTCTCTGATGGCTGCAAACATTCCGTCCCATTTTAAGTGTTAACCATGCCTCCAGGGCTAATATAAACTAAAGCAACATCCACACACACACACTAGTACTTGCCGACACACAATCATGCACACACTCAGACATAGCCCTACAAGTCTGCACTTGATTACAAGAGACTTCTGGATAAACCAGCCAATGTGTTGTACTAATGCATTCCTGACTGGGAAAGGAGCCATTAGGAAAACATTTTGCTTTAAAAGATATTGTTGCATTTTTATACCGTTCTTTACTTTTTGAATAAGTAAATGGAGAGCTTAACACAAGAGAGGAGAGGAGAAGAAAAAGAAAAGTGTCAGATGGCAAAAGAAAGCTAAATCTTGAAGGTAAGTGTAGCAGAAAAGTTGGTGAATAATTTACATGGAAACCAAAATATCTGAGACAAAACAATCTAATTTTCTTTACAAGCTAAGTAGAGCAACGAAAATCTTTAATACCAATGTTCCATTTCATTTCTAAAGGAGATCATGGCTCAGATAATGTCATTGTTATCAAAAGGTAGCATAACAATGAAGTAGGAATCACATGCATAAGATACCCGGGTTCCCCCACCCTGTATTTAATCTGAAGGGTGGAGGGAACTTTAAGCAAGGTTTGTTTGCCTAGACTTGTTGCTAGGCTACATATGGGAAAACATTTTTAAAAAAACAGATCCTCTTTCTCCACCTTCTTTTAGCTTGGTTTACAGTGGTACCCAGTGACATCCTGGATATCAGGGAATCCAGCAACAAGGGTTAAAATTCCACCAACAAATTCTGTATCTAAATGCCAAAAAAAAAAAAGGGCAGAGCCGTACCCACCATCTTGAAGATTTTTACACTTCCTTGCAGATGCCCCTGCTTGCCATTCTGTAAGGTGGCTGCCAACGCTTTAAATCTGTTTATTTTTCTTATTATCGGGATATTAATTGTTCTAATTCCACGATTACAGTTTTAAAACTGCAATTCTATTTCACTGCTATTTTGATACCTGTGTAAACCATCTAAGGCACAGTGAGCACTGAGACTAGAGAATCACTGAACAATTAAGCAAACAAACAAACAAAGTGACGGAGCCTAGATTTAGAGATTTGCAGACTACTAAACATTTCTAATCGGGGCAAGTTGCAGAAACAGCCATATGTCCTCTTGTAGTACATCCAACAGTTTTATATGCAGAAATATAGCATCTCCAGATCTGAGACTTTTTTCGTCTTCTTCTCAACATAAGTTTCTGGAAAACAGCTGTGTTACATTATATGGCAGCCTATAAGTCTAGAACAGGGGTGTCAATCTCAATTTCATTGAGGGCCGCATCACCATTGCAGTTGCCCTTGGGGTGGTGGTGGTGGGTGTGGCCTACTGGGTGGGCATGGATGGAGTGGGTGTGGCCTAGTGGGTGGGCATGGATGGAGTGGGTGTGGCCTACTGGGTGGGCATGGCCAGCTCTACATCATTTGCGTCAAGAGTGCCTGTGGGAGCCTGGGCAAGAGTGGGACAGATCTGAGGGTCTCCGGCAGAAAGGGGTGGGACCAGGGCAGAGCCCATCAAGCCGGATATGTGAAGTAGGCAAGGGCCATTTGCTGGCCACTTCCAGACGATGGTGCATTTCTTCATTCCTCACAATGGGTGACACCTCCTCAGCATGCACCCAGGAGGCGGGGCCGACACGGCAGGGGCTGGTTCCTTACTGTTTCCAGACGGCCTTGTGGAGCTAAGACTGAATGCGTTTCAGCATAGATGGCCACCACAAAATTGTACATTGGCTCCCGGCCGGTCTGGGCCACGGCCAAGGCAGAGGGGGCCGTTCCCTCACTGTTTCCAGGATGGCTTCGCGGGCCACATGAAACCACTTCGCAGGCCGCATCCGGCCCCCGGGCCTTGTGTTTGACATGTCTGGTGTCAACGCTGCAAATATTGTATATTCTTGCTTTTGACAATATGCAGAATTGTCTGGTAAATATGGGGTTAATAAAGAGCAGAAGGGGCACTGGGGGTAAAGCCCAGGAAAGAAAGAGGAAGAAAACATTTGACCTTCACACTAATTGGATAGTGTGAGA